CTTGGCTAAGAGGCTTGTCAGTCTCAAGTAGGGAAGACAGCAGTTTGAGGACCACACATTTACTGTATGCTGATGACTCCTTAGTTCTCTGTGATGCTGATGCTGAGCAGCTGAAACATCTAAGATTAATCCTTCTAATATTTGAAGCTGTTTCTGGGCTTCATGTTAATTGGAGTAAGAGTAGTTTGTTTCCGGTTAATACGGTTGATAATACACAGGTATTAGCTGCAATTTTGTGCTGCCAGGTGGGATCTTTGGCAACTACTTATCTGGGGCTATCACTAGGCTCCAAGAATAAAGCTCAAGAAATATGGAGCGGAGTGTTGGAAAGATGTGAAAAAAGACTAGCAACTTGGAAGAGTCAGTATCTTTCTTTGGGAGGAAGAGTGGTCTCGGTAAACACTGTGTTGGATGCACTCCCGACCTATGTCATGTCCTTGTTTTCGATACCATCCAAGGTGAGGAAAAGAATCGATGCACTTAGGAGGAATTTTATCTGGCAGGGCAACAAAGATAAAAGAGCCATACATTTGGTAAAGTGGAACTCACTTATCACCAGCAAAAGGCAGGGGGGTCTAGGACTCAGGAACCTCAAGGCACACAACCAAAGTTTACTTATGAAGTGGATGTGGAGATACAACTCAGACACTAATGCTTTGTGGAGAAAGGTTATAAGGGAGAAATATGGTCAAATCAAATTGAGTAGTGGTGCACTAGCCCTGTTAACAGTTCCTATGGGGTAGGTGTTTGGAAATCTATCCGACAACTATGGAGCTCTGTGTTGGTTAACACTAGCACAAGGGTGGGTAATGGTAGGAAGACACTATTTTGGAATGATAATTGGCTTGGGCATGGACCACTTAAAGAGATGTTTCTAGAATTTTTCAGTATTGCAAACATGCCTCATATTAAAATGGAAGCAGCTTGGGGCCAGCATGGTTGGAATATCACTTTCAGAAGAGGTCTGAATGACTGGGAAATGGGGAGAATTGCCGATATTTTTAAGGTTTTGGGAGGGTTCAAAGGACTCAATGAAAATGAGGACACCTTATTATGGCACTGTTGCAAGAACAGGGTATACACTGTCAAATCTGCCTATTTCATGCTTACAAATGCAGATCAGCATACAATGGGATGGCCATGGAGGAACATATGGAAAGCAAAAGCTCCCTTTAAGGTGGTTTGTTTCTCATGGCTGGTAGCAAGAGAAGCTTGTTTAACCCAAGAAAACCTACAAAGAATGGGATTTCTGTTATGCTCGAGATGTTTGTTATGTGGCACAGATCTAGAGACCAACAGTCATCTGTTCCTGCATTGTCCTATCACTAGTCAATTATGGCAATTGTTCCTTAACATTGTGGGCCTCAGATGGACAATGCATGCAACTACTCTGGAGCTTCTAAAGTCCTGGAATAACATTGGAGGGGTAGTCAGTCAGAAGACATGGTGGAGGGTGATACCTGCTTGTGTATGGTGGACAGTGTGGACAGAGAGGAACTCAAGAGTTTTTGAAGATAGATACAATACTCTTCAGAATGTTAAGATGAATTGTATTCTTTTGTTTTATTTTTGGTGTAAAGAAAGGCATGTGGAGAATACAGAGTCCCTGGTTGACATGTTAGGTTTTTTGTAAGTCTGGTGGATCAGTTTTGATACCCCCCCCCCCCCCCCCCCGGTACATATGGTTTTGCACTGCCTTAGTGCCTTTTTTTCTTAATATATTGGTACCAGTCTCAAAAAAAGAAAAAGAAAAAAGATCTGTTCAGACGCATTAAGTGATTGTAAAATGAAAAGAACAGACGAATTTAATGGTTAAAATCTGTATGATTAAGATAAACACACTTAATGACTGAGATCTGGATCATTAAGATTCAAATCTCCATAAGTGCAAACAAATGAGGGGGATAGTAGTGGGATGAGATTTTCTGAATAAACGACATAGAGCAAAAGAGATTCAAATGAAGGGGATAGTAGTGGGATGAGATTTTCTGAAATAAATGACAAAGCAAAAGAGATTCAGAGAGATAAGTGGTTAGATATGGTGAGAATAACACTGTAATGCATAGTGGTTTCTTTGGAACATTGGGAGGAGGAACTGTAAGGGGAGGATGCTTTTATTGTATTTCCTTAGTAATCCAAGTGGATTATGTGCGTTAATGATTATGCATCAAGGAAGAGCTGCATTCCCTATTTTTTAAATCGTCCTTTTTACTCATATGGAATCGATATATTTAGAAGTTCTATTTGCTTGTGGAACTTTCTTACAATATAGCAGTCGGTGATGTGCATTTTGACATTTTCCCTGTTTTGTTTTTTCTAACTCAAGCTTACATTTCTGACTATGACACTGCATCCTAAAATGCTAGGTGGAAGCTTCTGAAGACCTGTTGAGGCCAATTAGAGTTGGGGAATCTGCTTCTTTGAGAGTTGGCCAGCAATGTTTAGCCATTGGAAATCCTTTTGGGTTTGATCATACACTCACTGTTGGGGTTATCAGTGGACTGAATCGAGATATATATAGTCAAACTGGAGTGACAATTAGCGGAGGAATTCAAACAGACGCAGCCATCAACCCTGGGAACAGGTTTATTTTGCTGAACTTGTACTTGCCTTGGTATCAAATGCATTGCCTCTGATGCTGAAATTTTTTAGAGGTCCTTTTTTCCTTTTCTTTTCCAACTGCTAATAAATGTATATCTTTTCAGCGGAGGTCCTTTGTTAGATTCAAAAGGAAACTTGATTGGGATTAACACGGCAATATTCACTCAGACAGGTGAATAATTTTTCCACTGTGGTGTGTGTTATAGACTGTGAAGATCGAGAGGAATTGAAAAGATACACTTATTTATTGTTCGAAATTTATCCTCTTGTGCTATTACTGATTCTTTTTTGGTACAACAGGGACATCAGCAGGTGTTGGATTTGCAATCCCTTCTTCAACTGTATTGAGAATTGTGCCCCAGTTGATCCAATCTGGAAAAGTATGACTGTTGCTGCATTAATTCATGGCTTAGTTCTTGTCAGCATCCAATTGAAAAGTTTGTTTCTGTTCATTTCTTCTTTTTTCTCCATGTTTTCCAGAATTCTCTTCATTTGCATTTTGTGTACAGAACATCATATTCTCATTTAAAATAGTGGTTCTTTTCTTTTTGGGGTTGGGAAGTTGTAGGTGATGAATTTGGATTCCGTGGGAGTATTGGGGGGGGGGGGGGTCGGAAACAAGTAAGTAGGTTCGTATATCTTAGGTTTAGTTAT